CGCCCTCCCCCCCCAGGTGGGGCAGCTCCAGTTCACCCACCCCACCCCACCCCACCCTCCAGCACTGGCTGAGGAATCCCTAGAACAAGCTCCCTCTCCCCACTCCCATCCTGAAAACTTTGCAACCTTGCAGGGAAGAGGGGTCACTGCTAGGGAAAAAAGAAAAAAAAAATCAGCTGCAGGTTGGCAGTCAGCACCTAGATTCCCCTCCACCCTGGAACCAACAGTGAAGTTCTGTTTAGTCCAGGGGATCGTTGTAACTCAGACTGCTTCCTGCAAAGTGTTCTCAGTTACAGTGGGGAGCTGCATTTCTGTTTACAACCACTATATCTACACTAGTATTAGTCCCATCTCTGCCTCAACCCAGCTGATTATCCACATTAAAAATACTTTAAATCAGTGTTTCACAACCAGTGGGACCCTGGTCCCACCATGACGTGTCCCACTGGTGGGACATGAAGGCCGTCTAGGTGGGACGCAGAGAACCGGCGGCCCCGCCGCCAGTACTTCCGCTGCTGTGTGCCTCCGACACTTCCGGGTTTGCTCGCCAACTGGCTGCCGGGGGACCCACCCCTCTTCGCCCTCCTGCCCCGGCTCATCGTTTATCATGGTGGGACCAGGGTTTTTGGGACCAATGGCTGTTGAGATATAAGGTGGAAAAAGTTGAGCATTGCTGGTTTAAATGACCCTCTGCCTGTAGTTTACCCCATCTCTAGAAGCTCTCCTGAGCCTCAAAGATCAATGTTAAGCTTTCTGCTAGCCCATCTTTAATTTTTTCTTTCTTTACTCCCCTGAGGGCAGTAGGACCTAGCACAAAAAGGTCATCAGCAGCACTGCTACAATTCCCTATTCCTGACTTCTGGACCTTCTGTACTTGCATTTTTCATCTTTCCTTCAGCAGAGAAGGGCGGACTAACTCTTAGAAGGTCTCTACTTGAAGAACAGATATAGGGAGCTTCCCTGAACAGAAGTCTTCTAGGAACTGATCTATCCACTACTTGTCTTGCTGCACTTCACACCTTCAGGTGCCATGAGATAATATAGATGGGGAAAGCCAGCTCATGTGGCTCAAGCTAGCAAAGGCAACCCTTGGTGTCAGTCCTAAACATAGGTATAGACATATTCTTAGGGACTAGTCCTATTTGGGGAACTGTACTTATGCTGGCTCCATCTATCTCCTCAAAAAGTGAAGCTCTTTCTATTATTAGCTCTCCATTATCTTTTCATCTCTCCTCACCTCCCCCCTTACATAATATTAACCTGGGATCCTATTCTACTCAAGTTCTCAGCATTTTATGAGAGCACATGATGAATGCATTTCCTAAGTGCACTGGTAACTTCCAACAGAAACTTTTCCCTCGGTAACACCAGAGGGAAGCTTAATGTGAAAAGAATCAGTGTTAATGTGCATCTCCGTGACATCTTCCCTGCAGTTTTTGAATAATGTTATCTATGTACAACATCAGACTTCCCTCTGGGCCCCAACCACTTCTCTCCTGGACCCTATTAGACTGTATTATCAATAGTAACACTTTGCCTCGGACTTCTGTTCTTTTGGTTCAGTCTCCTGCCTACTTCAAAATTCTGTGGTCTATGTAGTCTACAGTACAATACAGTATTGTCCCAGAGTGTTTAGCTGCCTGCTTTTGTTTTCCCCTATCTTTGTCCAAGAATAGAGGAATGACTGAAATACTACCTTAAGTGGGCCCTCACCAGCCTCATACCATGAATGCATAGGTAAAAAAGAGATAGGACATATGTTTTTAATTCTGAAACCAGCTTAAGCTTTTTTTTTTTTGCACATATTCCCACTGTATGTTCTTTTACATTGCCTATAAATATTGAGAATAAAGTGACTCACAGCCTCATAACATATGCACATCTCTGACTACTGTATCTTGGTATGGTCAACTGAGCTATCGTTATAAATTCACATGCTGCACTATGTATTCTCATTTAGCTCTTACCTCTCCTTCAAGAGTACATATCCACTGCATTTGCAGGAACTCATTTACATGCAACAGGCGTGTGTCTACCTGTATGTAAGCTCAAATACCCAATGTACCTATGCAAATACCAGTGGGTATTTCATGGGTACATGAAAACCTCTCTTGTCTTTCTCAACAATTAATTTGGGTTAAAGCTTATTGCAACAGCTAGATTTAGCAACCAGGCTTTTTAAATATAGCGTAAGCAACAGTTAAGTATATGTTTCAACCCAAAACAAAGACAGATGCAAGAGTGCTCAAGAACTCAAGCATTCTGATGGAGGGGCTGAAGCTGCATGTGGTTTTGGCAACAGGTGGGTATGAGTGGGTGAGTACAAGATTGAAAGAAGCTGATAGACGAGAAAACCTGAAGTTGCCTGAATATGCATAATCATTTTGATGGGTGTTGGCTGAAAGAGATTGAAGCTGTGAGTAAAGAAACCCCAGGTATTGGATTCTTCCCGTATTATAAAAAAGTACTAACTCCTGCTGTTTCGAAACAGAACTGTGTCAAAGGTACTTGACTCCATCATCAATTTCTCTTCCTAAGTGAAATATAAGACCAAAATTTGACTAGTTACTCAAGTTAAAAAGGTGTATCAATACTTAAATCAACAGCAACAATAACAATGCCTGTAATTAAAGTGATACAAATTTTAATTATTTCTAATTTCCTAGTTGTTTATAAAAATCTGTTAAACTGCTTTGGCTAAAATTTTTCAAATTGGGAAAATTTAATTTAAATCAGGTCCAACATTTCTTTCAAATTTGTTACATATAAAATAGTAATGTCTGTGCCAATCTTTAGGAGTTGAAGGTAAATACATTCCTGTTGTCATTCTAATCTCACAATCATTTCAGTAAATTGTACCTCCCAGTTTCATTTCTGAACTTTCCAAGCTGTGTTTCTACTCCCCAATTCCTTGGAAAGCAGCAGCAAAAACCTATCCAACAGGTGTATTTTCTACACATGCTGACCAAATTATTTTGTCTCCCAGATAATCAGAAAGGGCTGAAGCTAGAAACCCATGACCCAGGAGAGGAAGTATCCAGGCAAGGTTCAACCCTGTACCCAGGCTGCTGCACCCTTGGCTTGGGCTACTACTTGCTTCCTGACACTCTCTGGACAGCTGACCTGGCTTGCTCATGAACCTTGAGTTTGGCCTGACCTTTTGGAAACCCAATTTTAGTTTAATTTCCTGGATACCCAACCCAGTTAGCCTCCTGACCCCCTGGATCTCTCACTTGGTTCCTTGGGCAGATTTTCTGGCTTCACTATCCTCTGATTCAGCATGCTCCTCTTGGACCTGAGCCACTTCTCCTGACCCTGAGGTAACCCCTGGACCTGGCTGCCATGTCCTAGCATGACAAGTTGCCTGGATCTCCACATGCAGCAGCAGGGGATCAGCATGGAGGCAAACTCCAGACTGGTTCCTCCAGACCTGCTCGAGCTAGACCAGCTGACACCAATGGCCTTCGCCTTGTAAGTGCTAGAAGATCAGGTACGGCAGTTGTTGGCAGAAAATCAGTCCCTTCACTCCGATTATCAGGCACTGAACTAGATTACCATTCATAATCAATACCCTCTGCCGCTTATAACATAGGTGCTTGATCAGCTTGAGCTGATCAAGCAAGGTTCAGACCATCTGCAAGCACCCTCAGAATGTCCCAGCACCTTGGCTGAAAAATCACTGCCTCCATGAATGTTAAGTTTAAGCAACTTGGGTGGAGTGCTAATGGGGTGGGTCTATGCTCCTAAGCTCAGAGCTACTCTGCCCACCCCATTAGCACCCCAGCCTACCCAAGTTGCTTAAATTTAACATTCATGGAGGCTTCAAATGTATTACTGCACTAGCTATTTTCCTTGCACATGCACCTTGAAGGTAGGCTATACAGATACAATACTTAGTGTATTCAGGGTTTTATTTGCTTTAAGCCATTTGCAATACGAATGATAAACTAATGTCAGACCTTTTGTCATTGCCCATCTAATAGAAACTAGGGTTCACCCAAATTTCCATTTCTATGTTACTGCCATAACTAGCCTACACTCCAGTCCTATCCTTATGGATCAGGTGTCAAATTCGACTGCCAAGAAGGGAGTTTTGATCCTAAGTGTTGGGAGACCATTTTGGATCAAGCAGGCAAGTTTGCTATTCATAAGCACAAGCAATGCAATAAGGGTACTTTAGAAATACAAGACTGATTAACATCCAAAGGCTACTTAAATTGTGTATGCTGTGGCTATAGGCTTATCTGCCATTGTGAGTGTTCTGTAATGAGTTGGTCAGTGCCCCGAGTTATTTAAAAACTTGATTTCAACAATGTTTATGGAGTGTTCATGCATATGGGTGCCATTTCCAGTCACTCTTTCTGCCTTGACAGTGAAAGAACAAAAAGAACCTAATTTACACAGAATTTCATATCTTCATGTTGTCATATGTCCTGAGCGGGTGTCAAAAAAAACAGTTATGCCATTGTTAGAACCTGACTTCTCTTCTGCTTACATTCATTACAGAAAAACCTTGCTTCCCACAAGAGCTGACAGAGGTTTAGCTGGGCTCAGCAAAATCATCACCAAAAGTGACATATAAATTCTAGATAAATAGTCAGTATGGTCCTGCCAAGCCCTGCATTGAACTAATGTGAAAAATGAGCTCTCTCAATACCTTGTCAAGAAAAAAAAGCCACAATCAAATTCTTTTTTTCAGTAGAACAGAGTGATTACCCAACACAATGGTTACTGCCATAAATGTCCCATAAGTTATTTTAGGGCCATCCTTGTAAGTAATAGCTCTGGGCTATATAATGTAGAAAACAATAAGCCATGGTAAACAACCTAACTCTCATCTCTATACAGATTCACTACCTTTGTGTAGCAAGGAGGTGGGATCTTTTTTCACATGTTTCTGACTGACATAGTTATGCTGGCAAAACTTTGTGCTGCAGGATAAGCCTCAGAGATCTCTACCTTTTGCCTTTATAGATCTTAACCTGAAGTCTTATTTCATTAACAGCTATAGCCAGAATTTATCCCTGGCCTCATCCCTCAAAACACTCACAAAATAAACATGGAGACTTTGGGTATGTCTATACTGCCCCCTGTGAAGCATGGCTTACCCATTCTATGTAAGCTACACTCAAACAGCTGTAAGTTAGCTCCTCAGAGTGGTGCTGGGAGCATGCCAATCATCTCTGACTCATGCATGCTTCCTGGCACACATCCAATGCAGTTCTAAAGCAGTTGGCTTTCATCTGCTCTGGATGTACACTCACACAGCATACATGCCATGCTTCAATGTCTTGTTCCCCAGCACGGTCTGGATATAGTGTAGACATGCCCAAAGTACATTTCCACAGGAACTTTTGCTGGTAAGGAACAGACCTTGTTCACACAGCTAGCAAGCTACTGCTGACAGCAATTTCTAGCTCCCTCTTCCTCCGATATCACCAGATTCAGTTAACATGACTGCTGTTCACATTTCCACCAGTCTGTAAATTATTGCAAAACTTCAGTTTCAGTACCATCAGTTTTATATACTCCACTATATCTCCATCAGCCCACTGTCAGAGAAAATAAATGCAGCAAATGAAGTGGATATTCAGAATATATTTGTCTGAACAGCAGATGTTTTTTCATGATCACCCAGCTGTGATAGTTATTATTACAGAGTCTGCATTTAGATGTGCTTCAAAAACAATTTCAAATCTAAAATTATTACAATCGTCAGAGAAAGCTGTGCTCCAAACACTTCTTTATCCCTTTCTGCATTCTTTCAATCTTTATGCAGTTATCCATTTTGAAATCTTTCCAGCTTTGAGATGCTTGGCAGAGAAAGAAGAGTAAAACCAGTGCACAGGCATAGCTGTATCTATCTTTTACTGTATACCAGTGTATTGTGGCACAAAATAAACATAGAATATCATAAAGATCTTATTTTAAAAAGACTACATTTAAAGGATGATTCAGGAACTAGTCTGTGGCTCCTGTGAGGCGCTCAGATAAATACTGCGAGTGAATCTTATTATTTTCTTAACCAAGAATTAGGAGAACACTTGTGTCTACTGCTGCATCCAGATGACTGCAGTTTGCATTAGTACTGCAGGCAATTTGAACTGACATTGCTGCAGACATCTTTATTTAAGACTCCTCTCTTGTGATAGAACATTGTCTTCTAACTTACGTATTGCCAGCCCTTCCCTCTCCTGAAAGCAAAGCAAAGCAAAGCAATGCAGAATGATAAACAATACTGTATCATTTTGATTACATATCTACCTTTTTCCTCCTCTAGAGGGAGCTATAAAGATTGCACTCATCTTATTTTTGCTGAGGGCCTATCATTCGTCCCCTGCAGTTTTGTACTTGCAGCACTTTTGTCAATTCAATAAAAAAATACCTATTTAGATTTTTTTCAACACAGCTTTTACTTTAGTATTTTTTTAGTTAATTTAAACCTCTGGGTCCCTCCCTTAGTTATTTGATTCTCCTGTAGGATTGTGTAAAGGTGTGAGCAGTTCATGCTCATGATCATTATCTTTAGTTACCGACTTATTTTCCAGGGAAAAGCTGTTTTTTCCTAAAACCGAACTTTAAAAAACGTGGGGTGACTTATATGCAGGGTCCACTTATAATCAGAACAACACAGTACACTATTATTAAAACTGTATGCTACTATTAAAATTGTATAGTTTAGACCTGGCCAAATTTGACGTGAACAAATAAAAAATTCTCAGTAATATCTCCCAATTTTTTTACAATCTAGAAGGGCAGCAGATTTTCAGCTAGTACAACTCCATTCCAATGGATACTCTATGCCACTTGGTATAAACCCCTATATTTGGTAGTTTAAGTCCACTTCTACCTCTGTCCCATTCTGAATCATCATTTCTACACAGCTCCTTCACCCTGAAGAATAAAGAAATGAGTGCAAAATAAATTTCAACACGTGCATTTTTCTAGCCAACTGCAACAGCATTTTAAGGTGGCAACTTCACAATTGTGCCTACTAGAAAACCTTTAAGAATTGATTACTAGGCCAAGTTCTGATCTCAGTAGCACCAACACAAATCTAGAATTGCTGTAATACAGCCAGCAGTTACTCCAGTTGACATTAACATACCCCAAGATCAGAGCAGAACCTACCCATCCAAGATAGACCACCTACATCATTCCAACTGGGACTTCCATGTAGGACAACTTCAGAGTAAAAGCTACATCACACCTGGTCTCATACAAATTCTGCCACTTCTTCTTTCCCTCCCCTTCGCCCACACCTTAATCAACAGACAGAACCAGGAACCAGACAGTGTTCAGCTAGACTAAGCCATTTGGGGGTCGGACTCAATGATCTATTTAGGTCCCTTCCAACCCTAACATCTATGAATTCGCTAGCACCACAGCTTCACAAGCTAATACTGTAGTTCACAACCTAGCATTTACTATCATTACATGACATTTACACTGATGGGTACTACACATTGCCTTGTTTTATTTCAGAGATTTATTTTTCTTTTAAAATTACTTCCTAAAGTGTAATAAGTATAATTTTACTACTTTGTTGCATTCAGTGAAACTGCTTCTTGTCACAGACACAAGAGACCGTGAACCAGCATATTTTGGCCAGGAGCATAAGCTACTAATACTTTCCATATAAAAATTTCCTGTAAATTCACCTGGAAAAAAAAATCAATAGTAACTAGTTTAAGCTATTCTTCACTTCCTTGTGGTACAACTTAGTTACAGAAACAACACACACACAGCTGTGAAAAAAATAGGGCTGTCAAACAATTAAAAAAATTTGATCACGTGTACTTGTGCGATAAAAAAAATTAGTCGCAATTAATCACGATATTAATTTCACAGCTAAAAATTCAAAACTATGGGCAGAAAAATTCAAATTATGCAAAATTATCCAGGTACTTTGCATGGTGGGGGGGAAGGGGTAGGGTGTGTGGGAATTTGTGGAGGTGTGGGGGGCTGTGTGTGTAGAGTTTGGGGGGGAGAGGTTCCCACATTCCCTGGCAATGTGTGGGGTACTGTGGGTCAGGAGTGAGAGGCAGCAGCAGGGCTGGGGGGGCTGTGGCTTGGGAGTGAGGGGCAGACACAGACATGCACAATGACACGTGCACACTGACACCGCCTAGCAGATAAGTTTGTAGAGGGGAAGGGGCGGGGGGCAAACTGAGGCCCCAACAATGAGGGAGGGACTGGGGCAGGGGCGGGTCATGGGAGGGAGTCAGAGGCCAGGTGTGGGGGTGGAGGGGCACAGTTCTGCCACTGTGTGCACCCCCAAGGGAAGCACAGGGGGGCACATGCGCCCTGGATTTGTGCACGGGGCAGAGGCAGGCTGTGGGCAGGGGACGTGCAGCGCAGCAAGTGTGTGGCTCCTGGGGCAAAGGCAGCAGGGCGCAGAGCCCCAGCCTGCACTAAACCTCCACCAGGCACACAGATCTGATGGGCACATTCCCCTCTTTCCCATGACCCGCCCCACTCCCTCCATCCCCATGGGGGCCTCATGATTAGTCTGCAATAATTTAAGATCGTCAGGAAAGCCCTCTCTAATCTGTAGAGTTGGGCTAACTGGACAGCCAGAATGACAAATTTTATAATCCAGTCAGACGAGTGGGAGAACTACTTCGTGAAGTCTAGCTTCTCATTCCCTTCTCCTTGCAGAAGGACTGAAGGTGCTGTCTAGGCAAAAAGGAGACCATACCTTGCTTGGATGCTGGAACTGAATTAGCATTCCATGAGCACAGAGCATTAAAAAATATTAAAAATGTATATAAAGCCACAGAGTAGGTATGTGATGAAGGCATAGAAAGAAATGAAGTAAGTCCTCCGTTTCACTAGGACCACAAGAGGTCCTTTCCTGGCATTCTGGTATGCATGGTTTATATAAAAATTGAGCTTCTAAGTGTAAATACCTTTTCCTTCCCTCATTTCCCTTCCCCACTCATCTTACCTTAAGAGCACCACAAAGCTCAACTGTATCTGCATCATCCACTACAGTTATTCGGAAATTTGGGGTCTGCAGGAGTTCTTTGAAGAGAAGGCCATTTTCCAGGATTTTACTGCCTGTTGAGAACAAAACGTACATGAAAAAATTATTTAACTATGATCAAGGTTTTTTAGGTTACCTTGGTAGGTGGAAAGGGATGACATAAGACACAAGAATGAGCCTCGTCTTTTGGAATTAAAGCAATCATTGCCAATATTTCAGGTTTGAGATCCCTTCTGGTCTGATTCTAGCTGTTGTAACTGAATTTGTGTAGGGCTCATGACATGCTCAGAAGTGCTGTGGACCCCCAGTAGGGGCCATGACTTACTGTCTGGGAACTGCTGAGCTGAAGGTTCCTGTTGCGATTGCAATGATGATATATCCTAAAAGCTCTGAATAAAGTTACTGTACACATAACTGTAAAACTTTTACCAAGCCCAAAGTTATACTTCTAGTTTTTGGGGGTGGGTGATGCTTAACTGTTCCATTGTAAACGAAAAAGGGTTGCTTTGAAGTCACAGCCCCAGTGAGATGCTATAGTTGCACTCTCCCTTTTTCCTCCACCCAGGAGTGGATTTAGGCACAAGCTTAGGGCCTCACATTATGAGGGGCCTCTGAATACTAAATCATGTCCTTTCTGTTCGAATAATACACTTTTTTTTTGGTAATGCTATGGGTGGGGCCTGTTAAGCTTGACATAGCCTAGGGCCCCAGCATATCATAATCCAGCCCTGCCTTCACCCTAAACACCCTACTGCTACTTTTGGCAGTGTCAGCTTTATAGGTAGTCGAACAACGAAACATGAAAGTCATAAGCCCTTCTGATAATGACTGACTAATGTTGATGACCATGACATTCAAGTGATTTCATGATGAGTTTTGAGGATAACAGTTTGTTTTGAATACTGTTTAATTGCATGACACCTTACCTATTGTGGTTTCACAGAACTTCTCTGCTGCTACCTCATTGGCAATGTTAGCTCCCATCAGCACACTGATGTCTATTCCCATTTTCTCTCGAATAATATCAGAAATCAGCTTGAGTCCCTCAGGGCCTTCATCTATCCCCTGAAGTCAACATTAAAGTGAATTACTAAAAAGGCACTAGACATACTAGATAAGACTATCACAATTACTCTTGTCCATGGGTGGGAGCTACAATAAAACCTAGGCACTTAAAAGCTGAAAATAGTGAACATATTAAGAGTAAGACATTATAGCCATATAGACACCTCTGGCTATGCCGTCCTGTCCATGTTATGATTACTTATGATACCTTCTTTTGAAACAAAACAGCACTTACAACTGGGAATGATGACAACAGGATTTATTTATTTTTTACACTAAACCAAGAGCCAAATCCTACAAACGGGAGGAGTGTTCAACTCCAACTGGACTGGATCTTCAGTTCCTATAAAATCAGTGAAGGTAATGGAGTGGCATTAATTTATATTCACTGTCTTAGTTGCATATGAACAAGGTGTCACACAGGACTAAACCTTACAACTGAGGTATAATATTTTGTGGGAAGTCCCCCAAACTGAAGTATCACAGAAGAATTCCTTTGCGTTTAATGCCAACAACAGCTTATTAAGAATAGACAGTTCTAGACACTTTTACAGAGTGAGAAGGAAGTTTATCGATACAAAAAGCCTGAACAATGACAATGTTTTTTCTTTTATGTTACGTTATTCATCTATAGATCTCAGTGATACTTTTGTAAAGTGTTCTGCCTTCAATCTTATAGAGAATGAGGAAAGAGAATGAACGACACACTGATATTTGTGCTGGATTCTGTTCAACACTATGAACTTCTTGTACCCAGGACCATCCTGGGGGTGGGGTGCAAATCAGGGCAACCACCCTGGGCCCTACGCTTTGGGGGGCCCCACTGAGCAGGGCAGAGCAGCCGCAGCGACTCCGTGCTGCCGCCAGCTTCACGTCCAGCCACTCAGCACCCCCTCCCCGGCCTTCGACCCCTCGCTGCTGAATCCACCACTGGCTTCCTCGCATCTGGTGGCAGGGCCTTGCACAGCCGATTTGCCCTGGGCCTTGCAGCTGGCTCGGGTCGCCCCTGCCTGTACCATATTCATTAAACTGAGCCACCATCCTTTGTATTAATTTTCTTCTCCCACAGAGCTAAAATGTGAACGTGTTCTGCTTTTATATGGGAGAAAAAGCCCAGGGCTCAACACTTTCCTCCTCCTTCCCAAAAGAATGAATAGTCACACATTTTCTTTACAAGGCCTTATTTTCAAATAGGTTTTTCATATAAGCACATAGAAGATGATTGCTTTGAACTACACATGGGTTAAAAAGAATGCACAAAAGGGAAAGGCTGGAATTAATTTGGCAATGTACAAGTCACAGAAAATGTTTCAGGCTGGCAGGGATTTTGTACTTCTATGGCTCAAACAATGCTTTGTTTTTAATGCTGTAACATTGTGCAACTAAGAGATAGGATGAGATCCATATGTCTCAAACCAGACAATTAAGATGAGAGCATCAGTTTCCCCACTTTCATGTTGCTTCTTCATTCTCTAGGACTTAGTATGCAGACCTGACTTAAAATCTTTGTGGATCATACTGCAGGGCAATGAGAACCTGAAAGCATGCAGATGTGCATATCATTTTTTAAAGAGCTCCAAAGAGGCGTTTACAGTCTCTTTTAAGGCCCCAAACAGGCAATTAACCAACAGCTGCCATTCAATCTGAGGTCAGTAAAAAGTAGGCCTGTGCGAAGTGGCTAGTATTTGCTTTGGATACGGACAATTCGGGGGGCAGCGATTCAATTCAGTGATTTGAATCACTGTCCTGAATCAATTTGGCCAACTCTGATTTGGCGATTCGGCCACTGCTGAACTGGCCGAATCTCAGAATCAAACAGGCCCATCTCCTGCCCGCTCTCCCAGCCCCATCAGTGGCTGCCCCTCCCGGCCCCAGTATCCCAGCACTTAAAAAAAAAAAAGCCCTGCACTTACCAGCTCCTGCTAGGTATGGGGGGCAATCTCTGCTGACCCATGCTGTGTAGGGATCTCTGACACAAATCCCCAGAAGCCCTGACAGCTGCTGCAGCAGCCAGTGAGTGTGGGGCTTTTTTTTTTTTTTTTTTTTTTTTTTTTTTTTTTTTTTTTTAACACCAGAACCAGGAGCTGGGGCCAGACGGGGCAGCCATGGGGAGGCTGGGAGAGCGGGAAGGGGTGGGGCTTGTTGCAGAGCCCCCCAAACAGTGCAGGGCAGTAAGGATCATCCCCCGCGTGGTGGGAGCTGGTGAGCGCAGAACTTATTTTTTAAACAGCTGGGATGCTGGGGACAGGAGGAGCAGCCATTGACGTGGCTGAGAGAACGGTGGGGGTCAGGGGATGGGGCTTGGCAGGGGTCCCCGCATGCTCCCTTCCTTTCCCCTCCAGCCCCCGCTCCCTCCCTCCCCACCTTACCAGCATGGAGTCTGGGTCCAGCTCCCTGCGGTGGAGAGTGGGGATTGTCCAAATCTCCGAAGCTTTCTGAATCATTTTGGAGAGCTTCAAATCAATTCGGACTTTTTTATCGGTCTCCTGATTCGATTCAGATTCACAGATTTGGCCGCCATATCAAGCCAAATCTCCTCCGAATCAAATCAGCATCCAAAGCTTCGCACAGCCCTAGTAAAAAGTATCTGGAACAACTCACTAAGATTAAGTGAAATATGTGGATGACTAGCTTGTGTTTAAAAAGATCTTACAAGCCTGAACACCAAACTCACTCCTCTTGTGAACAGGTACAACTTCCGCTGGAGTCAGAGGGAGTTGTGCCCGCATGGGGACTACATCATAGAGGAGGCAGTAAACAAGATGAATGTGATTTAAGGAATAGCCCTGCAGAAGGAAAATTCTCAGGTAGTGTAAGCAGCAGCTGCCCCCAACTACTGGCATAGCCCTTGGTGTCTGTAAACAGCTAGATCTGAATTAGATCAACCTTAAACCTGTCCAGGGGCTAGCCAGAGACTATTTCAAATTGCTCTTTCACTCCTGTACTCTCCACTGTGGTGCAGTACTGAAAAAAGTAAAATCGGACTGCATCTATCCCCTTGCATCAACACAGTTATTTACTACATTCCAAACATTCAAGCCTGTCTAACCTATTTAAGGGAACGCAATTACAGACACGACACTATGGGAGTAATTCAGCAAGCAGAGCCTTATTCACTGAGCAGCCAGTTATATAAACAGATATTAGGTTGCGTTTGTAGGTCTGGCAGTTACACACGCGCCGTTTAGTGGAAAAGTGTATACTTAATAAAGAGCCACTGAGACAAACAAGGTTCTCTTTTATGTAACCTTTTTCTGACTAAGACTTCACTAAAGCCAGGAGGTGTTTCTAGTGACCACTATAAGCAGAACTACATCTAGACATAAAGGAAGGAGTCTAAGAAGGCTTGATTTTAACTAAAAAGACAGTGTGTCAAGATGTTGGAGAAGAATAAATAAAAATATATTCAACTCCTGACCAAAAGGGGAATTAATTTTGTTGCCAGGATCACATCTCTGCCTCTCTTTTCCACTATGCAATGGGTATATGTTTGTGTCTGGTGACAGAAGCTGGCAATGTATAGTTTGCAGTCCCATTAATGGGAATTAAAAACAGGTTGTACCATTTCTTCCAAGAGTGCCTCTTGATTCATGGAGTCAGCTCAACAGTGACAAGTGACCACTGGAAATTAGTTTTCCCTCGTATCAGCTGATATTGCCACATAATTATATCACATGCTTCAGATTAAAACTAAGATAACATTTATTTTTTAAAACATTGAAAATATTTTCTATTACACCCTATTAATGAACTAAATATTTACTCCTCATACATAAATACAATTATTAATCAGCAAACCTTTAAACTGCACCAGTGGGGAACACAGGTTTAGATTCTAATTTCAGATATTGTGGATCGTTGTAGGTGCAATGCTGTTAAACTTATTCCAGGCTTATGCTGACAAAGATCATCAGAATCCAGTTCATATATTTAACAAATTAGAGAAAAATTAGGTTCCTCTCAAGTGAAGGGATTGCTCTTGGATTCAAATTGGTCTGAACTATTGAGGAATGTCAAAATGACAATTCTCAGATTTTGTTTCCAGGCTAAAAGCCATCTACGATGGTCACATTGTTCAGAAGCTGTTGGTGCCAGGCATTTATCAGTTTCAGCACTACCTTGGACTACTATACCTTGCATCGCTCATCCTTCTTCTCTGTGTAAAGGTTATCTGTACAAGTATGGCAATGGTAATAAAACAGTGTTACCTTGCAATAAATTTCAAGACCCAAGTCTTTTTGATAGGGCAGCACTGACAGAAACATGAAAGAGTCAACAGGTTTAGCAAAGCTAAACACAGACAAGTTTCTTCAAAAACTAAATGATTTACAGGATGACCCTGTGCCAGGAACAACAGCAGACAAGAAAACGTGTGTTGAGAAAATAAAGAGCCTACTCTTAACTAAATGTAGGGCAAGAAAAACAAAGAAACGCCTTCCAAAGCTTATGAGACTAGCCAGATCTATCACAGCTAAACACACAGGAACAAAACCACTTTAAAAGCAGAAACTTGCTTGTTACGAATGCTATGAATACCCCTGTAAAATGCATATTCCAGTGCTTAGAACCCCATTATCTTTCTGGGGCTGGTTTATCTTTTTAATTGTTCTGAACAGTTTCTCTTGTTGCACAAAATCTTTTACGTGAACAAAAGCACTGTTCTCTTAGTCACATAAGAGCCTCTTGTCAGTTCTTAAAACAATCAACTCAGCATGAGAAATGTGAATTAACAACTAGACTGTTATATTTGTGCTCAGCTCTTCATCTAATAATGTGTTCACAAACAATAAGTTAAAAGCCTGAAAAACCTGGTGATGTGAAACATTTTTAAGCTAGTCTTGCTGAGTCTCATTTCTCTGTTAGTTACCAGACATACTAGCATAAAATATGTATCGCTGAACAACAATTCACTAAGGACCAGGAATCAGATCCTCATTATACATCCAAAGAGGTCATATTGAATGATCAAGAAAAAACAAAAGAAAAAGGATTGTTGAGAAAAGGAAAGCTTTTTCAAGCCGAACACTAAGCTTGGTTAGGCCAATAAGGTTTCAGAAGATTTCACTGCTTACTGACAGAGCTAATATACAGAACTTACTATACCTTGATAAGAGTTATACCAACAGCTCGCCTGGGTACCCTCCCTCTGATCTCATCACAGATCTTATGAATGAACTGATGCGGAATGACAAAGACCAACATGTCTGCATCTTGCACAGCTTCATTAAGGTTGGGGATAGCAACCTGTACAAGAAGTTCCAGGAGAAAAAAAAGAAGATCAGTCGAACAAAACAAGTTATTTGAGAGGACATTAGAGCAATTGTTTCCCCCACATTAAAGAGTATTTTGGTTTTGTTGCTGAGAAAGATAAATTCATCATGCTACATCAATGAGAACAAAAACAAAGCTAAAGCCACCCATACATGCATTACATTCTTACAAAGGCAACAGCATCAAGTGCTTTGAAACCATCCAACAATAGACCTCTTGGGACACACGTTTAAAGGACTCTTTTCCCACCACTCTTGTTGGTGCAATCAGCTAAACATGAAAGTGACAGTAGTCAACATGTGTATACCTACCTGACTGTAGTTTACAAATGTTCTTTAATTCAACACTGCTCTTCCTTAGTTGCTAGTCCGGCAAATTAGTGTAGATTTCTGATACACCACTGCACTCAGGAAAGTGTTATTTGTTTTAACTCAGATTTCTTCAAAAGGAGCCGTTACATCTGCTTCCTTACATTGTTATTTTTGTTTTTAAAAGGTTTTAGTTGAAAATAAGTCAGCTTCTTGGACAAGTTCCCTGCCAGCCTAGCTTTGTCCAACAAGTGCTGACAGACATAAGATACTGCACAGGTAATAAATAAAATAAAGTTTCTATCAGTTCTGAAGCTGAACAGCAGATGCTAAAAAGTACCACCAGTGGAGAGAATCAGCGTGAAAAACCTTGCCATGGATAGACCAGGCACCAAGGTTGCCTGGTCTGTCATATAAAAAGGATTATTTCAAATCAGGAACTGGTGTGAGATTTAGGTTTTGACTGATGCCAACAGAACAATAATATAGCTGCAGGCTGCTACGCTCCTCCCCCCGAAGGATTTCCTACTGAACTGCAGCATTCACTTCCCACTCTTGCTTCTTTCTAAGCCAGAATCACGTTTGTCTTCTCCCTTGTCATTTACACCAGTGCAAAGCAGATATGAAATACTGCCAAGTCTGAACAGCAACAATTTATGTCCACTTTGCATTCAACCATACTAGGTCAAAGAAAGCTAGGAATCAGAATCCCTGTGACCAACCTGCCATTCATTTCAGTGCCCTCTCAAAAGATCAACAGTGATAGCTGCATTTTCAGAGAATCAGGAAAGGCCCCAAACTTACCATTCAGCTCCCTTCCAAATGTAGAGCAAGTCATTATAGTGGTTTTAAAAGGCTGAAGCATTAATCTGTTGTTTAATTGCATATGCGTGTCACAACCCAAAGTTGTGATTTTCTTGTTTGTGTGTGCTTCGGCATCGCTAAATTGTGTTCCCGGTAAATTGCAGCTCTTTTGCATGGTGGAGTGTTCTGTTGCAATTAAGAACCCGTGTGCAGGAGTTTTTCCCGCCAGTTTTGTAGCCTTCTTTGCATCGTGCATTTCTTTTGCATTATAGTGATGCACGGTACAAAGAAGTTTCCGCCATTTGTATTAAGATTTCCGCCACATTATGGGCCAATCTTAATTTAGGCACACGTGGCGGCTAGCTATTGGCTTGCTGGCCGTACAAAAGGCTTGGGTAGTTTCCGCCCAAGTCGGAGAGAGAGAAAGCACATGGAGTTCGGGAAAGAAGCGTGAGGATCTCTAAGTGCTGCTGATCCCTTCGAACCCAGCTTTTTCCTTAAGAAGGCAACAGAGGTTTAATTTGTCGAACCCACGGAGCTTCAACAACTCCGGGGGACCTAATTTCCAAACCCTCGGAGCCTTAACAACTCCGAGGCACATAACCTCTAGCCTCTCCCCGTCGCCGACCGCAATCCTAAACGTATCCCTATCCTATGGACCTCATTGTTGAACCCACGGAGTCTTAACAGCTCCTGGGGACCTGGGAACCGAGTGAAACCCACGGAGATTCAGCTGCTCTGTGAGAGAGAATTGTTAAACCCGCGGAGCTTAAACCACTCCGGGGTCAAGGAACCGAGTCTATCAGAGTCCTCCACCGAGAACTCAAGCGGAGCTGTGCCTGGAAAGCTGACCAGCCTACACCGCGACCACCTTGGGTGTAAGTAAATAATCTTTTCAATCAACCATTACGCCTCCGTGACTGATTCTAGCTCGAGCGTACCATGCCGTGCCGCGGGTTTCTCCGGCCCCGCGTGCCCAGGCTGCTGGCCACAGCCTGTGTGCACAAAGACGGGCCCGGCTCGCCCCCGAGATCGGGAGCCGGCCCGCACAATGTGCATACACATACAACATCTGGCACACTTGGTGCCATTAAGTTATTGAAGAGAAAGATCCATTACAGGATTGTTAGATACCAATCTTAGCTTGGCTGTTCAAAACACTAAAATGATGCCAATGGCATCAGCAAAATAGTACATGGACTGGAATTTGATTCAAAACAAAGCAAAAAAAGAAGAAAAAATTAAACAATTTCCTACCTCACTACTTACTATAAGCAATCTTCCCCTCTCTCCACCCAAAAAAGAACTAGACCAAGTTTAGCTTCAAATCTTACCACATTTTCTGGCAGCTTGTATCCAGGTAGATATTTTACATTTTCATGTTCATTATTTATTATATCTGTCAGTTTTCTCCCATTAACATTTTCCTCAAAGACCCACATTTTTACTGTGGAAGCAAACTTTTGCATTTTTTTCACATTACTGCCGATTATTTTGGCAACAGCAGAGCCCCTGTATGAAAGAAAACAGAAGAAGATTTTCCAAAACAATAGTAATTTCATTCTGGAAGAAAAAAAAAAAATCACTTGAAAATAAATAAGCAGTCTCAGGGTGATTAACCCAATTACTATTTAATATTTTTGATCTAGTAGAACAGGAGAGAAAGAAAAGGTATACCAAACATTAACACATGCTGCTTTCTCAAACAAATATAGTTAGAATTCAGTAGACTGAAATATTTACTCATAACACCCTTAATTGCTTTTTCTGCTCATCTGGCATTCACTGGGGATTCAGATAGTTCTACAAGCACAGATTGAAAAGATTTATAATTGTAATGCAGCAATAAAAGCTACCTGCAACGTTTTAAATAAATAACAAATGTAATTAAATATATATATATTATGGATCACTTGATCAGGCCTTGAGCGAAACCAGAAGCAAAAGGTGTACATTTACAGTTGTGACAATTGTGACAACGATCTTTTAAATGTGAACTTCTGTATCTTCTTGAAACCAAAAACAATAGTTATACTTCTGCTCTTATGTTGTTCCTCCTACGTAGGAACAGAGTGAAGTAAGTAGGATTCTGGTGTCAACTTACCTGATACTTGTCAGAACACTCTATACAACAGGGGAATTATCCCCAATTCCAGCCTGCTTTGGAAAGCAACCATGAGAGGCAAACAGTTGGGTTATTTATAAGGGAAAGACTAGGGCAGCAGAGTCTTCTCTCACAGTAACCAGTTGGTTGAAAGAAAGGAAAAACAGAAGGAAAAAAAACAGTTCTTTGATGCCTGTTAATCTGGTGGGCCTTTGAACCAGAGGAGGGCTTCCCATTTATGTGAAGCCTACTAATCACACAAGAAAATTAACTGTAAAAATACAGATGCCAATTTGCAGAGCAACTGACTTGATAGTCAACACTAGGTTCACAATGTGGGGTGTGCAGGTAGGAGGGTTTTTTTGGGGGGGTTTTATTAGTACTGGTGTTCATTTCTCTTTTCCCTTTTCTTTACCTTTCAAGGGACCAGAAGTTACCATAGTGCATGCAAGAAATAAAAATAAAAGCCTGGGTGTTTTAGAAAGCAGAGTACAGGTTTTCCCTCGCCAACCACGGTTTTGAGTATCCATGGTTAATATTCTGGAAAGCATTTTGGCTACCACGGTATACAGATTTGAGTAACCACTGTTTTCCATGACTGCACACCATGCCACCACCTGCCATTTTTCCCATAAGCCTTTAGTCTTGTCAGCCAAGGTTTTGCCAACCATGGGAACTTTCAAGAACCTAACTCCAGCAGTTGGCGAGGGAAACCTGTATTATTATGAGATGAGATAGTGTTTTAAATTCACTGATGTAGCTTACTGCCCTAACAGCCACTGTGTATTACAACCATAATATTTGTAATGAGTTTCATCAGATATACAGTAAGAGCTTTTAATGTAGCCACGAGTGTAGGCATTTCATGTCTGGTGGTCACTTTATAAGTACTGCTGGACATATTTATAACACACTAGTATGTAAAGGTTTTGAGTATACACTAACAGGTCTTATACAATCAAATAATAAAAATATTACATGTTAGAAGGCTGCAAAGTACTTTGGAATGCAACATTTAATTTTACAGTAGCGTCTCACGCACTACAAGTCCAGGAGGTGACAGAAAGGCAACAAATGTGTTTAGTAAAAAGAGAAAAGAAAAAAAAACACACCCCAAACCTGATTCCAAATGCTATGCTACCTGCCTACTCCATCCTAGAAAGCATGACACAAGCTACTGTCCTAAACCAGTAGCTGGCAACCTTTAACAAGCCACAGATGGGAACAACTTGGCTCTGGTTTAACACAGGGCAGGTGGCTTTGGCATTGTGTCAGTAGCAGGGAATGTTGCCTGCACCCATGCTGGGGCCAGGCAGGTAGGAGCTGAACACCCCACCACTTCCCTTAGTTTCCAGTTCCCCACAGTCTAGAACCTGCACGGCCCATTCCCCGGCTGTGGTGCAAGCAATAGTAGCATGGGCACAGCCTGGCCGTAATGGAGCTCCTTGCTGCCTGGCCCCAGAGCAGGAAACTGCAGAAAGATGCCAAACCATCTGGTACTGCAGGCTGGATCCAGTGGCTTTATGGGCTAGATCCAGCCTGCAGGCAGTATGGTGCTGATCTTTGTCCTAAACCAATTAATCTAGCTTTTAAGAATCAGTAAGACAAAGAAGGGTACATGAGCTAGTGGCCAGAATATAAAACTGGTAACTGGGAAGCCTGGATTATTTGCCTGTTACCAGCTCACTAAGGGAGTGTAGGCCATTTTCCTAGCCAATCTCTATCTCAGTTTTCTTGACTGTGCAACAGAAAGAAGGATATTTAACATCTCCCAAATGTGTGCACTATGTAGATGTACTCTGAAATATTTGGAAGGAAGTATACATCAGGAAAAAAAAAGTATTGTGTTCAGTCTTAATCGTCACCAATATTTTGCACATGCAGTTGACAGAGAAAGACTAGACTCATCCTAAAGCAGCCTTATTTTGCATATGGATTTTTTTTTAACTGTGCACCAGCCTAAGGGTTTGCAATTTTTGTAGCATGTATAACTTAGATAGCACATTTCATTATCACTTACTAGTTAGGGGTTTGAGCTTTCCCTTTTTCCTTCACTGAATACAATACACAAAAAGAACACAAGGATCTTTGATTTCCTGTGTTTAGGAAGATTTTTAAGATCTGGATTCTCTGCTTCCCATTTAATGTTACTGTATAGGAACTGAACGAGAAGTGAATTAGGGATGGTCACAATGACACTGAATTTTAAGTGCATAAATGGAGTGAGATTCCACTCCCCACCACCACTTATCAAACAAACAAGCCTGCACACTCCTCCATGTCCTAAAACTGACAATGTGACATCAGAAGTCAAGTCCCTGCCCTGGGAGTCCTGGTCTGGCTTGCAAAGTGTTCATGGTACATCACAAGACAAGAGAATTCCTCTGCCTGCCAATTTATTTCTAGTAAAGCAGGTCTTCTGCAGCGCAGGCTAGTCTGTAATATTGTGTGCCTGCAGTGGCTCAGTTGCATAGGAAAGCCCACAGAGACACAAGTCTCTCGTACAACATAATTATTTTTTCCAGGTAACAGTTAATGCTACTCCTGTAATAAAAAAACAAGGTATTTTAATTCCAGAGAACAGCACTCCCTACAGATGCAGAGGTCTGACCAAGTAGGATGCCACAGACCCATTTAAAATGCTTAAAATTACTTACACCTAAAGCCCACTGAGAAACCCACTTTTCTCTCTTTTTCCACACACTTTATGGCTGCACTGCCCTCCCTTCACCTCATTTTGACAGACACAGGGACACAAGAGCAGGGCTTTATGTGTACATAACCTCCATGCCATGCTAGGGAATGCCACAGCAAAGCATGGCCATACATAAGGCACTACAGTATGGCAATATTCATAACCCCATACAAATCTAATAAAACATTTGAATGTCATTATCTATGTGATCACGTGCATCAAAGCTGCATGATCAAACCCTTTAAACCCAGTCCTGCATGTGACACAAAAGTCAGACTGACTGCCCCTCACCGAACTTCTCAGAGGGCACCTTGTGAGCCTCTAAACTGAGTCTAGGCACTGTCCTTCAGTCCTGATACAGAACACCTATCTAGCTGGGCAAACAGTGCCACTGCCTGCCCCAAGTCCGCAGACTCCCACCATAACCTTAACACAATCTCCCCAGAATCCAAGCAAGGGTGAGCCTTCTGGTCCACTGCATAATTCTTCAGAAAGTTTGATGTGAGCAAGCAGCCTTTGCTCAAGAAGTTTAAACACAACATTGCTTTTACTCACAAAGTCAAAATATTAAGTAGATAAAGACCATTGAAAAAGAAAATCCCCAAACTTCCAAAATACAATACCTTTACTTTAGCTGAACTTTCCCCTGGGAGCCTCAGGGGTCCATCTGCATTCAGGAAGGGAGGGTTTCCCCCTGCCTCAATGGGCTCCTGTTGCAGGCATTCGCCATTCAGCCTGCAATGCTGAAGACAGCCAAAGAGAGCAAATGGCTCAGAGCTCCTGCCCTTCTGTGTAACCTTTCCAGTCCCTCGGTCAAGTGACTCTTCTCAATTTCAATCAGGTGTTCACAGACCCCTGCCAGGAGGCCAAAGTAACCTCCACATTGACAACTCAACCCTCCTCAACAGGACCTGGTTTGGAATGATTATTTTTCAATGGCATAGGACTTACATCAGCAATCCTAAATTGTTACTTCTACTAGCCTGGCTTTACCCAGCCCACCTTTGTAAGGAGCACTGCTTGGGTCCTCTGGAGTCTAAACCAAGTCTAGGCATGACCCTTCTACCAAGGAATCTCCAGGTACGTTCCTGGAGCCCGTGTCAGACAACTCTTAAGAACTGGAGTTTGCAGTCCAATTGTCTTCTCTCTACCTGGGTCTAGTCCTTACTCCTCAGGTTATCACTGCTGTCAAGCACACCCTTTCCACCCCAAAACATGAAGTAAGCTGAAAGGCACATGATAGGTGTGAACAAACAGAATTTCTGCCAAGTTTTTACTTAAAAGACTCAAGCACAATAGGTTGCAGACCCTTGGTAACATTACTTTCCTAAATGAAAGGCCCTTTACTTTAGTTCACCTTTCCCTGGGAGTCCCTGGGTTCTGTTTACATTCAGGACAGCCAGGTTTACTCCTCTCATTAAAGTCTTGCTGCAGGCATGTGCCCATCAGCCCAAAGTGCAGAAGATAACCTAAGACAGCAAATACCCTGCTTTCTGTGGCATTCCCTATCTTGTTGGTTGCTTGACTAGCTTCCAGCAGATGTTCACAGACTCCTGCCAGGTTGCCTCATAGCTAAGGTGACCTCTACCCTGACTACAGCCTCCCTCTATAGCAGATAGCTTGACAGGACCATTATTAGGCCTGTGAGAGCTAATTATTAGAGGCTTTAGTCCCAGATGGAGGGTAAAAGACAGGGAGAAGGAAAAGACCAATCTTACAGTCAGAGTGGAGTTTGCAATTTGGCACAGAGTTCATAATTTTGAACAGAATCAAACCACACCCAGACAGTTCCCCAGATAGTGTGCGCATGTTTAACAAAGTCCCACCGAGTTCACCTACTTATACATTTAAACTAACTGCCTCGTATACCCTAGTATCCCTGTAATACAGACCTTAGGATAACACACAAAGCACAAGGAGTAAAACTTCCCAACTACAACCTTCAGGGTACAGACACATATGCACTTTCCCATTTCACTGTTCATGAGCACAAGCATTTCTAGAATTAGGTACTTAGGCCCCAGAGTGTCACTCACATACAAACTTTCATATGAAAAGTAAGCATGTACTTAAATTGCATTGATTTAATACTGTCCTGATTTGGGAAATGCTTTCCTGAATCAGGGTATTAATCAGGATCTCTCGGGGGATCCTGTGAAAAGAAAGAAAAGTTTGAATGATAAAAACACTCATAATAAGAGAAGCATTTAGTAAAAAGTTGTTTATCATTTGCTAGATTATAACCTTTTGAAATTCATTATTTTTCTTCCATTTCTTTGTAGGTAGTTTATGTCACCATGGACAGTACTGAACCAACTATCAGTGACCTAAAGAAATTTGGCTTATATTGTCATCTTTTCTTCTCAAAGTGTACATCTGAGATTTTTGCCCTCCAAATATCTGCCAGCTATGTACATGTATGCACATTTGTTGTGGGCTGAGCTGGTCCAAATGAGACAACCACAACAACAATTAAAGTTATCCCTACATGGCTGTAGCTAATGGATAATCTCAACAAAGCCTTTTACTTTGATGCATACTAGTATCACACTAGGACAGCTGTAGCTTCAGTAAGTCTAAGTTGTATACACACTTCACATAATTACAATATTGACAAGCTAAAAGGAAAAAAATAAGAGGAAGTTAAGGTTAAACTGACCATGACTCTAAAGTTCTGTTTCTATTTGACAAATTGTAGAGTCCCTTGTCTCCTCCTAACTGAATGATTGTACTCGTCAAGAAATTTTGGAGTTTTCTAAAGTTAGAGATATTATTTAGTGTCCTAATGATATATTTAAAATTATGCAACTGTATTCTAAAGTTAGCCATAAACCATCCCTGGCAGCACCCAGTTTTTCAAGGTCATTAAAATGACCAACCATGAAGACAGATTTTATAACGATTTGTACTTTATTGGTACCTTTCCATTTAGGAGCGGAGGGGGGGTTTGTTTGTTTTGTTTTGTTTTTTACAGATGGGCAATTACAATGTGGATAATAATAGAGTGGGAAACCAAAACAGAGAATGCTCAAAGGTATGGTTCTGCTCCTATAAAAGTTAATAGTAAAACTTCCATTGCCTTCAATGGAAAAAAAAGAGCAAGGCTGTTAGTCATTTGTCAAAAGTCTCTTCACAAGCCAATAGCTCTGGCAATAAAAGCTTGCATATTATACTTTCTATGCTCCACAACATATGGGACACTGAAGTTAATCCATCCTTACCTCTCATTTTTTGGCAGTAAGAGATTAATGATATATTGTGCAGCGTCCTGAAACATCTCTGTCAGCTATCTTGATAGACAATGTGCATTCAAACACTATATAAAAGAGATCTGTGTGTTTCACAAGTTTAGACACTGCGTTCTTTAAAAATTAAAATCCTTCAGACAACAGAGTCAGCAATGACTGACTGAAAAAGAAGTGTTCAGCGTCTTTAATGTTTCTGCCAGCTGATGTCAGCGCTGATAGTAGCAGTGGTATCACAAACACCAGGTTAAAAATACCCTATTGTAACTTTTGTATCGAAAAGTTACACAGACGGAAGAGGACAAAGGAGAGTGCTGATTCTTCAGTTTGTTTTCCCACTGACTTCAGTGGAATATTTCTGATGAGGACCTGAAGTAGTGGAGTGGATCAGGCCTGTTGTGTTAGAAGTTTTACTCTTCCTACAAGATTGGACACTGCCGCTGCACTTTACCCCTCTTGAAAATTAACATAAGATTAAATATAATTTAATAATATTGAATGAAAATAAAATAAATAAAAACACTTCCTAATTAAACACATGCAGACGCTGGTATGCTGGAACAAACAGACTCTACTCAACAACCACCACACACCCACAATTTCTCACAAGAATTCCTGAGCACAGGAAAAACGCTTCCTCAAAAAGCAAAGATGAGCAAAACCTCTGTGGGACAGGTCTTGCACAGGCCAGCCTACACAGCCGGTTCCGAGTTTCAGATAGTCGGAAACAGCTGGGCTTGAGCAAAGCTTCAAAACTGGGACTAAAAGGGGCCCTCCTCCTGCCTTGGCTGTTTTGAAATAAACAGTTGTGGTTTCTCCGTCACAGAAACATGCATGACAGTGTGCACAGATCTTGTTCCTTTGCAGGCAACTGGAGCTCTCTGAAGCATCCTCTGTGCAAAAATAGTTTTTTTCTGCCTATGGGGACTACCATCTTTAATTTTCCTTCAGCCTGAATAAAGGTGCGTGTGCCTGAAAGCTTGCAAAGAAAGATTTTTTATTTTTTTTGCAATTTCTTAGTTGGGCCATCTCTGAACCAAGCGTTCTAGAGGTTTGCATTTCTTTGTGTCTCATCCCAACACGGCTACCAAAAACATCCGGAAGTAGCACGTGCCCTTCTCCCTAAAGCTTGCAAAGAACTGTTCCCCAACTGTTTTGCTGGTCTAATAAAAGATCTCCCCAAAGAAACCACCCTGGCGATCTTGACGCCCATCTTGCTGGGGTCATTTGACCCCAGCAGTCTTTCCTGACCTAGGGCAGGGGGGCTGGACCCCGTGATCTGTGAGGTCCCTTCCAGCCCCTAACGTCTATGAAACCATGAAACCTTGCCTGCCTATATAACCGAGACCAACACGGCTACAACCACCAACCCACGCACCTGTTGCCCCTAGGATTCCCGTCACCAAAGGGCCCCAAGGATTGACGCGGCGCCTCGTCCGACTGGGTATCAAGTGAACTTTCAATAGCAACCCCTACGCACCCTTCTCCACACATGCTGCAGGCACTTCCCCCTGCTTTGCTGACCAGCAGCCTTTGAAACCCACTCAGCTCCGCTGCGAAGGGGGCACGGGAGGAGGGAGCAGGGCCCTGCCACCAGGACCCTGCCCGCTGGGGAGGCAGAGGCCATGCCCACGGGGGCCCGCCCTCCCAGCCGTGACAGCGGCTCCGGAGCTGCCGGGCGCATCCCCCGGGCGGGGCGCGGGCACCGCGGGAAGGAGCCGCAGCCCCCGCGGCACTCACCAGTTCCCGGAGCCCACGATGCAGACTCTCAAGGGCGCGGAGGGGAGAGCCATGGCAGAGCCGCCTCGCCGCTGAGCAACCGCCCTTCCCGCGCCCGGGGCTGCTGGGAGATGTAGTCGGGGCCGCCGCCTCTCACCGCCTCGGGACGCGGGCCCCTGCGCCGTGCTGGGCCGTGCCGGGCTGGTATCACTGGTCTGGGAGCTGGGGTCCTCCCCAATCCCTGACAGCTCAAGCGATGCAGGGGCCAAGCTTGGCCTAGATCTTCTGGCCAAGCCGAGCGGAGCGGCAAGATGTCCTGGTTGTCACAAGGGGGCCCCCCCAGCCAGGCCCCGTGATTGTATTGACCCTCGGGTGCTCTTCAGGTTTCCAAGTCAGGCGGAGGCCCTGAGTAACACGTGGAAGACCTCCCCAAAATTCCGGCAGAAAGCCAGGGTGGTGGTGAGGAGAACAATGTCACACTTTCAGGCGTTGCTCTCCACTTTTCAGCAGCGCTCTGCTTCAAGAAAAGCCATTCAGATCACTGTCCAGCTGGTCAGAAAAGGGGAGGCATTTTGGCTGATTTTTTTTTTCAGAAAACTTTTCCCATCAAAATTTTTACATGGTATTTTCTAACCACCTATCATGCTTATACTCATGAACGCTGCATGCCCCTGGAGGCTGGGGGGCCTGGCAAGCGCCCACAGGTGGTGTCAGCAGTGTGGGTGGCAGCAAGCGGGGAGCTCCCAGAGGCAGCCGTGGCAGTGTCAGCAGCAGGGCAGGTGAAGGCTGGCAACCACCCACAGACGCCACCGGCAGCATCGGCAACGGCCTGCAGATGCTGCTGGCAGTGTCACCAGCGGGGTGGGGTGGGGAGTGGTGAGCGGCAACCACCCCCAGGCACCACTGGCAGCGCTTTTTACAGGGGGTGCACCCCAGGCACACCCACACGCACCCGCTACGTGTCGCCATTGCTTATACAGGTTTCAGATTCACTGGATTTGAGATGCACTGACATTTCATACTCCCTGCCTCATAGGAGAGCATGAAGTTGACTGTTCCTTAGCAGTGCAGAGAGCTACTAATCAGCCACAGGTCCTGGTTTTCTCCGATTTAAAAAAGTCCCCAGTTTTTGGTTAAAAAAAAGTAACCCCAAATCCATATTTTTCCATGATTAAAATAAAACACTATATACATATCTCTATATTAGTGATGTTTCATTTAAATCACAGAAAAATGTGGATTTGGGGTTACTTTTTTTTGACCGAAAATAGGGGATTTTTTTTTAAACCAAAGAAAACCAGGATCCCTGCTAATCACCAGGCTGGAGTATTTTTTTCTTTTTTTTAACATTTCTGTGTTCATCTGCCTTTTGTCAGCAAGCAGTCTCAGCTTAAAATCACAACCTCACTGTAAATTAGCTGACATCGACTGAACTGTAAACTAGTTGACACAGCTGAAGTGTTCATCCCTCCATGAAGAGATTTCAGAAGTAAAACAAAATGTATATGTATATATTTTCATCTTAAATAATTCTAAACTATATTACACATTTAACATTTTACATAGTATTTGGTGCAAATGCTGACCCGTGTAGATCCAAATACATGACTGGTATCTGTACATAATGTGCTAAAGAAATGTGGCCATCATTGGGTTTGGGGCAGCAAATATTTATCAAAACATATTAATTACAGCAGCAGAAAATAAACACATTTCAGTTAAGGAATCAGAGAGAAACTCCTACTCTTACAAAAACTACAATAGGACTTTTTATGCTCAGGACTGAGGAGACAGAACCTCCAGCTTTAGGCCCTGCCTAAACAAAGGGTACAGAGTATGGGATGCCCACCTTTTGACCTAAACTGCAGAAGACAGAAGGGCTGGGATTTGAACTTGTCATTCTAGTAGGTCATTTAAACATGAGACTAGTAATAAAAGACAGATTAGTGCCATATGCTTAATGTAATGTGGACAGGGGGAAGAGACTAATAAACATTGAGGTTATGATCAGTTCATGGCCTGATGAATATGTAACTAGATTTTCTCTCTGAGTGGTTCAGTGCTCCAGTTTCATTTTCTTATTTCTAGTGATTATTCTACCTTTCATTTACCTTCTATGGATTTAAAATGTGCGATGTGACAAATGTTGCAATACTGAGAAGGACAAGGAAGATTCCCATGAAAAGCACTCACTAAATTCCAAGCAAGTTCCTATGCAAAGTCACTACTTACCTACTTGAATCAAGCCTAGGTATTCTAGGTGTTTCTCAGATATCTATTTCTTTGACATGTGCATGAAAAACAGGGAGTCTTTTTGTAAAACTCCCTTCTCAGGAATCCAGTGAGATAAGCTGAACTTAAGATGCCAAAGCACAGAGTCCAGTAGTATCCAGTAGTATCCAAACGTACAGCATTATAAAAACACAAGAGGAATAATTATAATGAAAACTATTGCATTTAAAGGCAAAAAACATTCTGACCAAGTTATTTATGTCAGTCAAAGCTATTAATGTGTTGAAACACTCAAAAGTTATCCTAAATTCCTAAATTCTTCATACTATTTTGCAAAAAAATCCTCCTACATATAAGCCACTGCATCCCTGTGGGATCTGGTCAAGTTGTGTGACTTCTTTAGGGTAATCTCTATAGCTCAAGACATCTGACAGATTAGGTAACGCAGCTCAACTTCTCTGAATAAAGAGTGGTAGGATGACTTGTAGGGATTTATTATTTAATATTTTTATAAAGCACTGCAGTACATTGGGCACTTGACAATTAGATATGAAGAGAAAGTCTCTGTCCAAAGATGTGCAGTCCACACAAACACACAGGGCAGGTAACTGAATAGTGAAGTTAAGCAGCTGTCTTGCTGATTCCACAATATTTTTGAGGGAGGAAAGAGAGAGTAGATTTTGTTCTTTGTTGTTAGCAAACTGGAGAGCACTTGTAAAGAGCAGGGACACATTCATGACAAAAAGAGTCAGACACATCTTTGTTTTCTCTCCCACCCCAGTCTGACTTCCTCCCAGCCAGGGTTCATTAACTCTTGTCTCCTTTAACCACTGTGCATCTAGCTCTTTCATATAACTTTCATACAACTTATTTTCCTACCTTCATTCACTCCATTCTAATAGCTCTCTACTCATTTAGGCAGTCAAGTGCTTTCCTCTCTAACTACTAAGTATTTCTTCATTCCCACACTTTCCCTATCCTGTTCTAGCCTGCTCTCAAGCCCTCTGGATGACTCTCCATTGTGTATTTGGCCAGTATCAGGTTGCTAAATGATCCACAACCCATAGTTGTAGGGGGGATGATTTGGATGGTGACACTATGAAGCTCCCAGGAATCTCCATGCGCTTGTGGAATTGCACATAAGGCACCACATGGCTGCAAGCTAAGTTGACTGAATGCAATGAACTTAAATATCCAAGTTACTCTAGTTCAAATGGAGTCCTTTTACTATTAGGGACCTACTTAGATCACGGAAGGACAAAGGGTTTTACGCAGCCTGCTCGCAGTGCACACAGCTGATTTCATGGGCATTTCACAGCAGCCCCATCCCTTGGTGCTGATTGGTGGAGAAGCCCTGCCCCTGGGCATTGACTGGCAGAGAGGCCCAGGGGGAGAGGAGGGACAAGGCAGTTGCCATCATCTTGATTGCTGGCTGCCCTTCATGCCACTCCGCCCCTCAGCACTGATTGTCAGAGAGGCCCTGGCAGGTGGAGGAGGGATGAGGGGGCAGCTGACAGCTTGTCTGCTGTCCTTCATGTCACCCTGCCAGCTTGTCAGCTGCTGGTGCTATAAGGCCGTGGTCCCTGCCTAAGTGGCGCTTTACTGGGGTGAGCTGTGGGGAAAAACTGGATGATCTGGTCACTTCCAATCTCTGCCGTCTTTCTCTCACCCGCCACATCTTGATGCAAGAGTTTCTTTGTTTGAAACCTTGGGAACTGGATAGAAGCTCGACAGCAACTTTTGGGTCCCCTGGATAGACTCTCTTTGTGGGGCTCCTTGTCTCCCTAAACCCTACCCTAACCATGTCCAGGATGACACACATCAGGGTCTGGATCTCGTGTTGGCTAGGGATGTCACTGGCCAATAGTCATAGTTCACTGAATAAAGTTTAGGACCTAGGCCCCTTCATTTAGGATTTCTGAGTTCGTTCCTAAACCAATCCCTTGCAGACTTCCAGGCACTACAGTCTACTAAGCCTCTTCAGAGGCCATGAGGCATCCACCTTACATCAATTCATCTTGGCCCCTGGGCTAATCTATCCTACTAGGTTTATTAGGAGTCCATGAGACAATCTAGTAGAATCAGTTCATCCCAGATCCTTGAGTTTATCAAATTAAATCATCCACACCAAAATCCATTAATTAATCAAAAAAACCCCCAAACCCTTGAAAATCAGTTCCACCCAGTTTCTGAGCCAATCACATTACTTCAGTCTTTCAAGTACACACGGCCGGTACAGTGAAACTGCGAATGGCTCATTAAATCAGTTATGGTTCCTTTGGTCACATATCGTTAACTGAGGCAATCAAATTAAATCAATTCCTCCCCAGTTCAGAGTCAGTCCACTCAAAATCAATTTTCCTGGGGTTTCTACCCTGCCCTGGCTCTTCAGGGCCAGGCCAGGATCAACTTGCTTTCACAATGAGAAGATCTTTCCCTCTTGCGGCCTTCCCAGCTTCTTGAGTGAGTGACCCCATTCCCACAAACAGAAAGAAAACAAAAAGTATAGGCAAATTAAAAAAAAAGGCACTATCCCTTTAAGAGTCACAGTCCTGGCTCCTGTCTCCATTGCTTCTGTCTCGTCCTTGCTGTCCTGCAGCAGTTCTCCAGTGCAGTGTGTCCCAGGCCCTGTCAGTGGCCCTCTGACCATCTTGCCCCAAGGGCCTGCTTGCTTCTCCTGCAGTGATCTGTCA